TGGGAGGACTAGGGAGTTGATAGGGGTGTGAGAGCACAGCTCCTCAGCAGAGCACCACACTGACAAAGACTTTTAGAGCCACTAAATGTTTGAACCATCTTAGATTTTTTTTTTTAAATCTGGACATCTAATAATGTCTGAAAGTTAAACAAAACCTAAAACAAACAAAAACCTCAAACTCCGTAAAGAAATCTGAGATCATGGTAGTTCTCACAAAACAAGCTGTGTCAAGCACTCCTCTAATCAAGTCTTAGAATCCTTACCGCCTCATCGCCATTTCACACACGAGAAGCCCAAGGCCCCCAGCTTACAGGTGAGAACCAGCTCATCAAAAACAAAACACAACCTGAGCCCCTTCTGAAACTCAGGGAGAGGGAGAAAAATGGAAAAAGACTGGTGTCCTCTTCAGGCCACCAAAAGACCAGCTGAGTGGTGTTCCCTCTTCCAGACGAAAGCATGAATGTCCACAGAGATCAGGTGGCTGGGCACCTGATTCCTCTGCCTTTGCTGAATGAGTGGACATCTAGTCTTCTCACCTGCTCCTCTCCTGAACCACCTAGACCTTCCACCCCCAGACCTCCAGTCAGAACACCTTAAGTAACTTGTCGTTCTGCAACCAGCCAAGGCAAAGACCGTAGAGGTCTGCTGAGATGGCACCACAGGTGAAGGCACTGGCTGCCAAGCCTGACAGCCCGAGTTCAATCCCTGGGACCCACATGATGGAAAGAGAGCAGACTCCCACAAGCTCTTTACTGAGCTCCACATATGCCCCATGGGATGCTTGAGCACGCAAGCATGCACACACCATAAAGAGAAAACCGAGGGATGTGATGGAGAGATGGCTCAGGGGTTACGAGCACAGGCTGCCCTTCCAGAGGTTCTGAGTTCAATTCCTAGAGACCACATGGTGGCTCACAACCATTTGTAATGAGATCTACTGCCCTCTTCTGTCATACAGGCATACATGCAGGCAAAACATATTATATATAATAAATAAATAAGTAAATCCTTTTTTTTAACTTGGCAAAAATTTTGAAAATAAGTAAATCTTAAAAAAAAACTGAAGGAGCTGGGAGATGGAGCAGTGGATAAAGCATCTGCTATGCAATCGTGAGGATCTGAGTTCGAATCTCCAGAACACACAAAGCCAGACACAGTGGATGTCTGTCATCCCAGCTCCTACAGAGATGGGAGGTGGAGGCAGAAAAGTCCCTGGAAGCTTGCAGGCCTGGTATCTGACGTTCCAAAACAGCAAGAGCCCTGCCATCTCAGAGTGGAAGGTGAACACCAGCTGAGGTTTTTCTTCCTTTCCTTCATTCTTTCTTTTTGTTTTTCAAGATAGGGTTTCTCTGTGTAACAGCTCTGGCTGTCCTGGAACTCACTTTGTAGACCAGGCTGGCCTCAAACTCACTGAGATCTGCCTGCTTCTGCCTCCCAAGTGCTGGGATTGAAGATGTGTGTCACCACCGCCTGTCTCCCACTGAGGTTTTCTAATGGTCTCTACATCTGTGTTATGGCATCCTCCTGCCCCACCACATAGATTTTTTTAAATTTAGATTTATTATTTTGTATGAATGAGTGTTTTCCCTGCATCTATGTCTGTGGACCACATGTGTGCCTGGTGTGCAAAGAGGTAGTGAGGCTCCATGTAGATACTGGGAATTAAACAAGGGTTCATTTACAAGAACCACCGAGCCAACTCTCCAACCTGATTTTTTTTTTTAGAAAAGTGAAAAAGACAAAATCCAAGCCCACAGTTTGTATTATCAGCACATTCACACAGTTATCGTCCAACAAACATAATGAGAACATAGAAAAAAAAGGAAATTTCAAAACTGAAAAGAGAACTGGCAAGATGGCTCATTGGGTCAAAGCGCTATTGCTATTGCACATCTCTGACAGTTTGAATCTGATCCCCAGATCTACTGTGGAAAGAGAACTGACTCCTCAAAACTGCCCTCTGTCCTCCACATGTGCACCATGGAAGGCACTTGTCTGCACTCACAAACAATGCAAGCCTGTCCTAGGACTCACTCCATAGACCAGGCTGGCCTCAAACTCAGAGTTCCGCCTGTCTCTGCCTCTCAAGTGCTGAGATTAAAGGTGTGTACCACCACGGCCCAGCTATGATAATGTTTTTTAAAAGACAGTTGCACAGTGTACTCTGGTTGGCCTGGAACTCACTCTGTAGACCATATTAGCCTCGCCTTCACAGAGATCTACCTGCCTCTGTCTCCCTAGAGCTGGGATTAAAGGTATGCGTCACCATGGCTTAAAAAAATTAAGTAAATAGATTCAATTCCAATTCCATTCTTTGACCCAGTATATATCACTTAAAGCTGAAATGTAACCAATGAGCTTTCTTGTGTTAAAGTTACATCATTTATTTAGGAGAGATTCACACATGCAGCATCCCATGTGTGTGTGTGTGTCAGAGGACAACTGTGGGGTCATTCTCCTGTGGCATGTGGAGCCCAGGGACTGAACTCAGTCTTCAGACGTGACACCTTTACCCGCTGAGCCATCTCACGGATCTCGCTGGCCCTTCTCTCTCTCTCTCTCTTTCCTTTTTCAGTGAGGCTCTCAAGCCCAGAACCTTGCCAGTGTTATGCAGGCACTCTGCCACTAAGTCACGCTCCAGCCCGGAGCCCAGAGCCAGCCTCTTGCTGATTAACCCATCTCACCCAGATGACTGACCACGACACTTCTCTAAGATCTGAACAGACACGCAGACACAATAAACAGTATCTCATTATCTCGAGGCACACTCATAAGAGAAACAAGTATTTCCTTAGTGGCTGTGGGTGGGTGGCACGTGTTTTTAATCCCAGCATTTGGGGGTAGGACAGAGGCAAGAGGGTCTCTGTGAGTTTCAGGCCAGCCAGGCTACCCAGTTTCAAAGGAGAGAGAAAAAAAAAAAAAGCTTATCTCTTCCCCAGCCTTCTCCTAGTTTAAATCAAAATGCTTCACTTTCCTCCTTGCCTCCTCTGTTGGATGATTGAGTGGTATATTCTGTGTCCCTTCTCCTTCGGGCCACTATCAGTCACTCGCTCTATCCTTCTCTCCGACACCTGTAGAAAAGGCCCAGGTCATAGCTTCCTTTGTGTTACTTTTGCCTCTGCAGAAACTTTTTTCCACTCAAGGCCCTGACCACCCTCAACATGCCACCTCTCATCCTTGAGGCCTCTTTACTGGGTTGCCTTTTCAGACTCTGGAATGTAAGCAGGTGGTTCGTACCCTCCCACTCAGACTCAAACAGGGGTCTATTACTCGTGAGTGTTAGAGCCCAGGCCCCCAACCCTCAATCCAGGACTGATTTCCCCAGTGTCAGTTCCTCCAAGATCCCACACTGAGGTCTCCAACCTTTGAGGATCTAAGAGCAGCCCCTCCTTCCCGTTCTTTCACTGTTGGAACTTCTAAGGCTCTTGCCTTGGCCTCCTGTACTGAGATTACCAGCAGGTACTGCCACACCCAGATTCCAGTTCACTTTTCATTTACAGCAAGGGGTGTGTGGTGGGCGGTAGGGGGTGGGGTGGACAGAGCATACGCATGCCAAAGAACAACTTTGTGAAGTTGGTTCTCTCCTTCCATCATGTGAATTTTTTATTTGTTTGTTTTCATTTGGTTTGGTTTGGGTTTGTTTTTTTAAAAGAGGTTTTCTTTATGTCTCCCTGGCTTTTCTGGAACTCACTCTGTAGACCGGGCTGGCCTGGAACTCATAGAGTTCCCTGCCTCTGCCTCCCAAATGCTAGAATTAAAGAAGGGTGCCACCACTGCCCGGCCCCCACCATGTGAATATCAAGGATCCAAAACAGACTTGATGACAAGAGCTTTTACCTGCTGAGCCATTTTACCAGGCCCAAGTTCATTTTTTTAAACAACACTTTCTGCATATAAGTAGTGGGAAGTGGTTTGGCCGCCCTCTCAATCCACCAGGTCCTAAGAATGTCCCACAACACACTCTGCCTGGTTTATTCGAATGCAGCCAACGCTGGGGAACTCCCTACCTCTCCAGGGCCTGGAGAGATTTCAAATCTTGTTCTCTACTGAGAACTGCACCCAGCTGGGATTTTCCCCTCCACAGTGTGGGAGTGGGAGGAGAAGACAGCGCGGCAGACCGGGAGGCAGGCGCGCTCAGGGGTAGCCGCAGCCTACAGTTGGAGAGGATCTCCTAGCCTCGGGAAGGGCGTGGTTGTCTGGTTCGCGCAGGTATGTGGGCCCCAGGGGCAGTAGGTCGCCCCTGCAGGTGCCTCAGCCAGTAGATAGCATCATTACAAATTCTGCAGGAGAGAGGTAGGGAAAGGCCAAGCCAGGTCAGGGATTGAAGGAGATCCAAAGTGCGGGAGGCATGGGAGGGGTGTCTGTGAGGATGACTCACCGTCAAAGTCTATGGTGCCATCCCCATTGAGGTCCATGTCTCGCAACATCTCATCCAGCTCAGTGCCCTCTAGTGGTTCCCCCAGCAGAGCTGGCGCTGCCTGTCGCAGCTCCGCCACTGTGATCAGTCCATCCCTGTCCTTGTCAAACTGCCGAGAGAGAGTTCAAGCAGGGCTACTACCCTGCTGTCTTTGTATGTGGCTCCATTCTGGCTTAGTTTCTTTCTTTCTTTTTTTTTAATTTGAGATAGTGTCTCACTATGACATCCTGCCCAAGCTGGTCTCAAACTCACAGAGTTTCTCTTGCCTCTGCCTCCCAAATACTGAAATTAAAAGTGTGGGCCAGGCCGGGCTGTGGTGGTACACGCCTTTAACCCCAGTACTTGGGAAGCAGAGGCAGGCAGATCTCTGTGGGTTTGAGACCAGCCTGGTCTACAAAGTGAGTTCCAGTACAGCCATAACATGCTTGACCTTCTTGGGTTTGTTTAGTTGGTTGGTTGTTTAGTTGAGTGTCTCAACTCAGCCAGTTTGAGGCTGGCCTCAAACTCACTATGCCTTGTGACTATAGCCTTGAACTCCTTATCCTCCTGCCTTCGCCGTCTCCCAAATCCTTGGATTATATGTGTGCACCACCATGCCCTGGCTTTGTTTGGTGCTAAGGATTAAGCCCAGGGCTTTGTGCATACTAGATATGCACTTTGCCAACTGAACTACATCCTATTCTCGGTTCTGCTCTTGCCACTGCCTGACCCAGGGCCATGATGTTCCCTGCCAGGTATTTAAACCTCCCCATCCTCAAAGATCAGTTTCCCTGACTGAAAACTCCACAGTGAATGAGCCACGCCTTCTCTTCCTGTCCCTACACCCTAGTCTTGCCTCTCTGGACCCCCTGAAGGCAGGGATTTCCCAGTAAATGTAGTCCATGCTTGCCACCGCTTGTACCCCTTACCTCTCGGAAGGCGATGCGCAGCTCTCGTACACCCAGCATGTGAGCTGTCTCCTCCCTCAGCTTTGGGCTGATCAGCTCCACAAACTCTTCAAAATCCACAAAACCGCCCACTGTGGACCCAGGCAGAGTGTCAGAATCTGTTCAGTGAGGATGCTACATTATTCTGCCCTCCTTCCAGGGCTCTGAGCCCAAGAAGGCACATCTAGTTCCTTGCTCAAAGAGGGGTTTCTTGGCTACTGGGGGTCAGGGATGCTCCCCTTCTCCATGAAGCCTCAGTGGGCCAGAAAGAGAAGGCAGCCCAGGTTCAAATCCTGCTGTACGAGGTCTTGGGTGGTTTTACCAATCCTCTTGCTCTCTAGGATGGGCCTGGAAGAAGGTGCTTTACGGAGCAGTGCTACAGCTGCTGGAAATCAGGGCTCAGCTGGGTAGAGCTGAGCAGGAAGCACTAAGTTGTTGTGGGATATTTTACACTGTGTGAAGATGTATCATTGTGATTGGTTTAATAAATAGCTCAATGGCTAATAGCTAGGCAGGAAGAGGTTAGTTGGGACTTCCAGGGATAGAGAGGACTCTGGGGGAAAGAAAGGTGGAGTCGCCAGCCAGGCGCAGAGGAAGCATTATGAGCTGTATGGATAGATGAGGTAATGAGCCATGAGACAGAACATAGATTAAAGTAGATGAGTTAATTTAAGTTATAAGAGCTATTGGGGTAAGCCTAAGCTAAGACTGAACTTTCATAATTAATAATAAGTCTCTGTGTCATTATTTGGGGCTGGCAGTGGGGAAAAAAGTCCATCTACACTAAATACCTTTAAAAAGCACAGCCATGTCGGTGTCATCCCTCAGTTCTAAGACATCATTAGTCCCCTAAGACTCCAAGGATCAGGCAACAACTTTGGGGGAAAGAGACGCATGGTCCTAGAATGTGCATTGTGCTTCTTGTTTGTGTTTGAGTCATGGACTATGTTAAGTCTTCTTTGACCTGGAGCTCACTCTGCCGACCAGGCTGGCCTTGAACTCACAGAGATCCTCTGCCTCTGCCTCCCCAGTTTGAGATTATAAGCATGTGCCACCACGCCTGGCTCTGGTTAATTTTTTGTGTGTCAACTTGACATAAGGTCATTTAGGAAGAGGGAACTTCAGTTGAGGAAACGCCTCCATTAGAGTGACCCGTAGGCAAAGCAAGTCCGTGGGACACAATGATTGATGTGAGAGGGCCCACTCCTGGAAAGGTGGTCCTGGGAACTGAGGGGCTGGAGAGATGGCTCAGTGGTTGAGAGCACTGGCTTTTCTTCCAGGGGTCCTGAGTTCAATTCCCAGCAACCACGTGTTAGCTCACAGCCTTTTGTAATGAGTTCTGGCACCCTCTTCTGGCCTGCAGGCATATGTGCAGACAGAACACTGTGTACATAACAAATAAATAAATAAATCTAAAAAAAAAAATAAGGAAGGTAGCTGGCCAGGAACCTGGAGATAAGCCAGGGAGCAGCAGGACTCCATAGTTTCTGTTTCATTTCCTGCCTCCCGGTTCCTGACTTGAGTTCCTGCTCTGACTTCCCTCAATGATAGATTATAAACTGTAATACGAAATAACCCCCTTTTCTCTCCATGTTGCTTTTGGCCATGGTATTTATCACAGCAATAGAAAGCAAGCCAGGATGCGTACATCAATGGCAAATCCCGTGCTCGTTTTGAAATTGTTGTAAAACAAAGCCAGCAGATGGCTCCATGGACAAAGATGCCTGTCACCAAACCGGATGAACTGAGTTTGAGTAGATCCCTGGGACCCACACTATAGAAGAACTCACTCCTGACAGTTGTATTCTGACCTCCAGATGCACACTATGGCACGCACACCCCACACACTAATAACTAAACAATAACATGACTGTGGCCCACCCACCCTCTAGGTAACCAGTCTGGCTCCCAACCCAGTCACCCAGCAGGGCTCCGCCACTGACTGCGCATCTTCACGTGCTGCGACACTTCCAGGAGCTCCATCTCCGTGGGCATGTAGCCCAGCGTCCGCATGCAGTCACCCAGCTCCCGGTAGCCGATGCAGCCATCCTGGTCAGTGTCAAACTCCTCAAAGGCAGCCTGCAGCTCTGTAGGGGTTAGCGAAGTCAGACCGGGAAGTCCTACCTAGGGTCACCTTCTACCTCCCAGCAACAGTGAGAGACACTCACCCTCCAGCTCCTCAGGACCCAGTTCCCGATCCTGTATAGGAATAAGGCAACATGTCCCCACTTGCCACAGCTTCTCCAACCCCCCACCCCAAGTGCACTGTGCAGGGCTGGCCCCACCAAAGCAGCTGAAGACGGCTGAAATCCTACAGACCCCATGAGTAGACAGCCACCTTCTCCCATGCTCTTGGAGCTCCAAATAGAAGCCAACCTTGTCCCGCATTCATTCCCCCAGTCTGGGTACAAGAAGCCACAACTCTGCCCTCTCCTGTCTTTCCCAATCTGGGACAGGAGGACTGGACAGGTAAGGTCAGGAAGGAATAAAGATAAGGAGAGTTAGCCTCAACCCCCCACCCCATACACCTGACCTTTCCGAAGATGCGGTTGAGCAGGGGCCCATAAGTCCTTTGGGCAGCGTCCTGCTGGGGGTCAGAACGATGTCGGTGGGACTGTCGGTGAGAGGCTTGCCTGGGCAGTGCTGAAGGTGGCTCGCCCTGCCCTGCTTTGGTCTTTGGGGCATTCCTGCTGCTTCCTGAGGCCTCGGAGCCTTGGCCAGAGGACTGCTTCCCAGAACTAGCCTTCTGGGACCCTGGCAGTCTCCTCTCCTTCTTGCTCCTTCTTCTGGTCAAAGTGGGGCCCTCAACAGCACTCCCAGGAGATACAGCTCCTTCATGGGTCTTCTGGAGGCCAGGAACCTGCTGAGAGCCATGCTCTGTTGCCATGCAGTGAAGAACGGGACTCAGCGATGCAGCTCCCTGAAGTGCCCTTGGTTCTCAGGGCCCAGAGAACTGCTTAGGGGCCCGCAGGCTTGAGATGATCACCTGGGATCCACAGTGAGGGGGATTAGGGTAAATGAACCAGGCAGCAGGCCTAATCTGTGCCCTCTGCCCTAGGGTGTCCTGGCAGCACCAGATGGGTCTTAAAAACTGTTCTTGGCAGTGAGGGTGCCAGGACACAGCAGCTGCAGTGAGCTCATACTTAAACTCAACCACTTCTCACCTAGTAGAAGCAGCTAATTCATCCTTCCAAGTCTCAGTTTATCCATCTATGAAATGGGAGCACACTATTGCAGAGTTAAGTGCTCATCCCAGAGTGTGACGTGGCTGAATTAGTGTAGCAAAGACCAGTGAAGGCTCCTGAGGCAGGACGAGGACTATTGGAAAAGACTGAGAGTTGTCACTTTGGGTGTCCAATGGAGTGGCATCCAATGGAGCAGAGGGCATATGGAACTTTAGAAAAGAGGCCTTGGATGCTGACAGAGGGGTGGGATTGACATAGTGTGCCCTGGACTAGAGGAGCCCCAAGCAAAGGGTCTCTTACTTAACCTTGTTGGGATGGTGACTTAGCCCTATGGGGCCACGGTTAGGGTTTCCCAGAGAGCAGACCCATGAATGATTGATGCTCCCTCAGCTTGGGTTTCCTGCCTGTCTGCCTTCATATCTCCACTGGGCGCCATGCGGCAGGCCCCATCGTGGGGCTGGTTGGTGGCGGACCTTGGGCAATCAGGCAGCACCCTGCTCCTTCTACCTGGCCTGCATCTCCCAGGTAAGCCAGGAAATGCTACAGGCCCTGAGGGAGGGGCATCCAGGCTCTGAAGCCATCAGGGTTAGAACTCATACGGGAGACTCTGCCAAGAAAGAGGCGGCGGTGGGAAGCTGTGGGGATGGATAGTAGCTGCACCCATGGGTTCCAGGCATGATCCAGGCGTGTTCGGTATGTAGCAGGTAGCTAGTCCCTCTCAACCCTCAAAGGGATGCTTTCTTCCCTCCACCAGTTGGGGGGACAGAGTAAGGACAGCAGAAGGCACTTGGGACTCATGCCTGGGCGCCCCTCCCCCACTTCATTGTCATCATCCCGCTGAGCCCACTACCTCCTCACTGTAGTAGCTCCAGGGACAAACACAGGAAGAGCACAGGTGGCAGTACAAGACACTGAAGAATCCTAAGCTGCTCTCAGGCACTCCGGGTCAGCCTGCCAGGGTCTGGAGGCACAGACCTCTCCTGGCGTCCTGAGGGCACTAACGGCACTGTCCCTCCAGGAATTCTAAGCATTTGAAACCCCATATCAGGATCATGTGAAGGGATAATCCAATAGTTTTCTTTCTTTTTCTTTCTTCCTGTTTTGAGATGATGTCTCATGTATCCCAGGCTGCCTTCAAAACCCCAACTGTCAAAAAGGCTAGTCTTGAACTCCTGATCCTCTTGCTCCACTCTCCAATGCTGAAGCTTTGGATGTGCACCAGTTGCTGCTTTTGTTTGAGAGAAGGTTTTAAAACCCTGTTGTCTAGGCTGACCTTGAACTCATGGCAATTCCCCTGCCTCCGCCTCCCATGTACTGAGATTACCAGCATTGCTACCTTTAAACGGTTTTCAAACCCTGTCTTCTGGCACACTAGGGGGTAGCGCCTGCACCTTTAATTTGGAGCACCCCTTCTCCATCCATGGAGATGGTCCACTCCAGCCCTTTACCTTAGAACAAGACTTGGAGCGGCAGGGAAAAGAGTTAGGTTGAGCACGATGATGCATTCCTTAGAATCCCAACACCCAGCAAGCGAAGGCAGAGGGATCGTTTGAACTTTGAGACAGGACTGTGCTACATAGTGACGACTTGTCTCAAAGAAGCAAGGAGCAGGGCCAGGGGCTGTGAGTCAGCCGGTGAAAGGCACACCAGGCAGACGTGTGGCCTTTGGTCCCATCCTCTCAGGCCTGCATAAGGGGAACACAGTGGTGCATGGCTGTAATCCAAGCGCCGGGTAGTGAATACAGGAGGACCAGGAGTTCAAGGCTACCCTCAGCTTTATAATGAATCTGAGGCCAGTTTGGGCTACGTGGGATCTTGTCTCACGCTACTGCCCACCCCCCCTCACCCCCTGGCCTGTCTCAAAAATTGAAAAACTGGGCTGGAGAGATGAGATGTCTCAGCTGTTAAGAATTTGTTGCTCTTGCAGTGGAACCAGGTTCAGTTCCCAGCATTTACATGGTAGCTCCCGACTGCTGTGTAACTCCAGTTCTAGGGGACCCGATGCCCCTTTTGGGGCTCCACAGGTGCCATCACACACAAAGTGCATATATATACATTCAGGTAAACACTCATACCCATAAAATAATAAATATTTTTTTTCTTTTTGGAGACAGAGTCTCACTATGTAGCCTGTAGCTGGCCTGGAACTTGCTATGTGGACCAGGCTAGCTTTGAACTCAGTCCCCTGTGTCTGTGCTTCCTAAGTGCCGGAATTAAAGGCATTTGTCACCATGCCTGGCTCCAAAAAATAAATTTAAAAAAGTCAAAGCTGGCATGGTAGTACATGTTGGTAATCCCAGCATTTAAAAAGCTAAGACAAGGATGGTCTCACAGCAACTGCCAGGCCAACCAGGGTTCCACAGCAAGACCTTATTTCAAGACAATATTTAACAGCCTCCTCAATAAACTTGAAAACCTCTGGTTTAGTCCACTTCGGCATGTGGATTCTATGTGGCAAGGTGGTTAAGTCTAGTCTGAGTTGCTGATCATATCTGGAACCTTCACCAAGTCACAGAGTTAGTGGACAATCCTCTCCTCACTGGTAACATTGATTATAAGGGGACCACATGAGATTATCTATGTGAGTGCCAGGCACGGGCTAATGCTGGCCCAGAGAGGAGTAGTGCCTGGTCCGGGGTGGCCAGCACCATCTCTCTCACACCAAGCCATCACACATTTGTTGATTCAGCAGACTGGCAGTCCATGTCCAGCGCTACCCTGAGAACCCGGAATGGACACCGCTATGGAAGCCAACCTGGGCGCTGCTGGCCACGGTCCCCGCACAGAGCTCAGTGACGAGGACTACTACCCTCAGGGCAGCTGGGACACTGTCTTTCTGATAGCCTTACTGCTCCTGGGACTACCAGCCAATGGGCTGATGGCATGGCTGTCTGGCTCACAGGCCCGACATGGGGCTGGCACAAGACTAGCCCTGCTCCTGCTCAGTCTGGCCCTCTCTGACTTCTTATTCCTGGCAGCAGCGACTTTCCAAATCCTAGAGATCCAGCATGGAGGGCACTGGCCACTGGGCACTGCTGCCTGCCGTTTCTACTACTTCCTATGGGGTGTGTCCTACTCCTCCGGCCTCTTCCTATTGACAGCCCTCAGCCTGGACCGCTGCTTGCTGGCGCTATGCCCACGCTGGTACCCAGGGCACCGCCCAGCCCGCCTACCCCTCTGGGTGTGCGCTGGGGTCTGGGTGCTGGCCACACTCTTCAGTGTGCCCTGGTTGGTCTTCCCGGAGGCTGCTGTCTGGTGGTATGACTTGGTCATCTGTCTGGACTTCTGGGACAGCGAGGAGCTGCCTCTGCGGATGCTTGAGATCTTGGGGGGCTTCCTGCCCTTCCTCTTGCTGCTGGTCTGCCACGTGCTTACCCAAGCCACCGCTTGCAGGACCTGTTGTGGGCACCAGCCTAGGCCTATGGCCTGCCATGGCTTTGCCCGTGTAGCCAAGACCATTCTGTCCGCCTATGTGATTCTGAGGCTGCCCTACCAGCTGGCGCAGCTGCTCTATCTGGCTTTCTTATGGGACGTCTACCCTGGATACCTGCTCTGGGAAGCCCTGGTCTATTCCGACTACCTGATCCTGCTCAACAGCTGCCTGAGTCCCTTCCTGTGCCTGGCAGCCAGTGCGGATCTCCGCGCCCTGCTGCGCGCTGTGCTTTCCTCCTTCGCAGCTGCTGCCTGTGAGGAACAGCCTGGCAGCTTCACACCAACTGAGCCACAGACCCAGGTGGCCTCTGTGAGCCTGACTCCGCCAGGACCGACAGCTGAAGGCCAGCCACGGTTGGATCCTGTGGGCCAGCCTCAGGTGACTCCCTCTGTCCAGCTACAGTCTGATTCTGTGGTCCAGCCTGAGGTGAGCCCCTCAGTACAACCACAGTCCAATTCTGTGGTCCAGCCTGAGGTGAGCCCCTCAGTACAGCCACAGTCAGACTCTGTGGTCCAGCCTGAGGTGAGCCCCTCAGTACAGGCACAGTCCGACTCTGTGGTCCAGCCTGAGGTGAGCCCCTCAGTACAGCAACAGTCAGACTCTGTGGTCCAGCCTGAGGTGGACTCCCTAATCCAGTCACCATTGGATCCTGTAGTTCAACCTGAGGTGAACCCTTTTACCCAGTCACAGTTGGAACCCATGGATCAACCTCAAGTGAATCCTTCAGCCCAACCACAGTCAAATTCTGTGGTCCAGACTCAAGTGGACTCTCTGACCCAGCCACAGTTGGATCCTGTGGCCCAGCCACAAACAAACACGGAGGCCCAGACCCCTGCCTATGGGGCTGAGTCAGTCTCTAACCCTGGTGAGGAAAGCTCCCCGAGTCCATCCCCAGATCCCAAGCTTGGGGTCCCTGAGAACCTAGATGAGCCAGCTGTTCTTGAGGGAGAAGGCCCGAGCAGTGTCCCACCACAAGAGGCCCCCAGTGCCAGTCCTACTTGAGTGACCTGGAAGTCCAGGCTTGCCAGGGCGGAGGAAGAGTCAGAGAGAGCCAATGAAGCAGCTAGGCGAGAGGTGGGAGCATGAAGAAACAGTGAAAAACCTCATTGATTCCCTTGAGCCTGCCGGGAGGGCTGAGGAGAAGTGAAACTGGTTAGCCAAAGGTCCCAACTAGGGTGTTGTATCTCCACCCTGGTCACACCAGGCTTTCCCATTACTACCCCACACACTCACAGTCACCCCACATCCTTGTGCTGCTGAGGATGGTCCTGCTGGGTTCCAATGTCCCCAGATCCATGCTTCCCCTTCTTGCCTCCATCCTGGTGGAGGAAGACATCAGGGGGCACTTCCTCTGATGGCCCTCTAACCTTCCCCTCACTTTCCTCATCCCTGTCCGGTTCTCTAGCTTGGGCATCAAACAAAAAAGTCCCTGTAGAGAGGGGAGGCTTCTAGGAGGCCACAGCCTAAAGCAGGAACCAGTTGGCAGAACCCAGCCAAGCTGGCTGAGACATTCTCCTGCCCCTAACACACAGAGCCTGGGACACGATTTCCCTAGCAAGGTGCAGCCAAGAGTGGGGAGCAACCAGACAAAAGTGAGGAGCGGCCAAGCCTGGATTCAAACCCAGCTCTGCCACACCCTGGCCTGGTAACTGGGCAAGCTTTGGGGCTGTTTGAGGGTTAACTAAGAGAGTGAATGAGGCGCCTACAGGAGTCTGGCACAGAGTGAAGCTCTGGGTCAGATGATCTTTTCCTTCACTGACATACAAAAATGGCTCTTCAGGGGCTGGGACTGCATAGCAGAAGGACAATGCCACCATCTGCCCGGAGCACCCAAGATCCTCTGATTGCTTAGGTTGACAAAGTTAGTGGGAGACTCACAAATCTTCAAAGACTCCATCCAAGAGCCTAACTAATGTCACCTGCCTCCCTGATGGTCGGACAGGAGCTGCAGGATGCACAGTGTGCTGGAATTCAAACCCCAGGACACGCACAGGCAGAGAGCCCTGGGCACCATAGTCCCAGGAAGGGCAAAAGCTCCCAGAGTCATAAGGTTGAGCCAGTTCTTCCTCTCCAGTTGCAGATGCTGCAAGCGAAAAGAGAAACAGGAAGTGCTGCGAATTGTTTGCCACCCATTGCCCTCCCATCAGCCCCTCTTCACCCAGATGAGTGTTCTCCTCCCAGCCTCTCCCAGACCAGGTCTCCCTCCCCACCCCCCACTCCCCTTCCCATTTGTGAGTGGCTGAAGGAATGAATGACCTCAGCAGCAGGTGTCCCTGATGGTGGAAGTTTATGGGGAATTTTTCCTGAGAAACTTGTATCTTAAAAAGGCAAGGTGGTAGGCTGTGCAGCCAGCGGGGAGGAGTGCAGTCAGATCTGCATGTCTGTCAATTTTCTGATTTGTAAGATGGGGATAATGTGCCGGGCATGGCTCACTCCTGTAATCCTAGCGCTCAGGTGCCAAAGCAGGAGTCTCATAAGTTTAAGGTCAGCCTGGGCTACGTAGTGAGATTCTGGGTCAAAAAAAAAAAACAAACAAAAAAAAAAACAAGGGTTGTGGTACTGGAGAGATGGCTCAGCAGCTAAGAGCATATAATATTCTTGTAAAGGACCAAAGTTGGTTCTCAACCTCTACATGTGGCAATTTACACACATGAAACTCCAGCTCCAGGGACCCCAGTGCCCCCTTCTGATCTCCATGGGCACCTGCACACATGTGTGTACATATACACATGCAGACAGATACACATATAAATTGGATTAAATAAATCTAAAGAAAAGAAAAAAAGGAGGGACTAGGGATACAAGGAGGCTTGCCTAAAACATTCAAGGCCTGGGCTCAGTCAGCAGCACTGCAAAATGATGGTATGTTCTCTTGCTGGTGATCACAAGTATGGGGTGCATGCAAAAGAAGGCACAGAGTGGCCATGGCAGTTTTTTTTTTTTTTAAAAAAGCGTAATGGTAGCCTGATGGGATGACAGACACTGTCTTAGTCACTGTTCTGTTGCTGCAAAGAGACACCATGACCAAGGTAACTCTCATTAAAAGAAAGTAATTGGGGGGCTTGCTTGCAGTTTCAGAGGCATCATGGCAGGAAGTATTGTGGCAGGCATGGTGCTGGAGAAGTAGTCAAGAGCTACATCCTGGTCTTCAGGCAGAAAGAATGAAATGGGCCTAGCATGGGCTTTTTTTTAAAATTATTTATTATGTATATAATGTTGTGAGCACCAGATCTCATTATAGGTGGGTGTGAGTCACCATGTGGTTGCTGGGAATTGAACTCAGGACCTCTGGAACAGCAGTCAGTTCTCTTACCCTCTGAGCCGTCTCTCCAGCCCCATGGGCTTTTTAAACTTCAAAGTCCACCTCAGTGACACACTTTCTCAAACAAGGCCACACCACAGAATCCTTCTATCAATGAATCCTACTCCTTGGTGACTAAGTATTCAAATATATGAGCCTATAGGGGTCATTCTTATTCAAACCACCACAGGCAACAAAGTCAGTGGGAGAGAGAGATTTCTGAAGTATTTGTTGAATTAACTCCTCTAACGAATATATATATTTGGTTTTTTAAGACAGGGTTTCTCTGTGTGTAGTCCTGGCTGTCTTGGAACTCACTTTGTAGACCAGGCTAGCCTTGAACTAAAATCCTGAATTCTGGGATTAAAGGCATGTGCTACCACTGCCTGACTCTAACAGATATTTAATGATCATTTACCTACCAGATAACTTTCTGACCAGCCTTGCATTTTAGAGATTCATGTTTACAGTTCAGGGTGTCTCTAAAGGTTGCTGGGCCCTGGTTTCACCATTCATTCACTGTGTGGCCTTCAGCAAAGCTCTTTGACTTTTTGGGATTTGCTTTGCCCATTTGTAAAATGGGTATTATAATGATTGGCCTCTCTGTCACACTGGGCTCTTTGGTAAAGAGTAAGCCTTCAATCATGGCCAGTCGTTAAATTTGATTTGCTAATGGGCACCCTGAAACCAAATGAGGCCCAGACCAGAGCCCTCCTGGAAGGTAGCTTGGGCACCAATTGCCCATCTCCTTACACTGCCATGGTACCTCCTCCTCAGGAAAGGTTCACCCCTGTCCCTGCCCATTTGTTGGAGTTCACAGTCTCTGAGAGAAGAGCCTAAATTTTGGTCTCCTTTGGGGCACTCTTCAGGGATCCTATCCCTTCTCCTGACAGGGGTCCCAAAGCCTCCTCAACATCAGATCAGAAAATAAAACTTCCCTGCCTTCAACTGTGGCCCACCCCACAAGTTCTACCCCTTAAGGAGTGAGCCAGCCCTACCTCCAAGGTCCCCAAGGGGAGTCTCACCGGTATGGGAGAATTGCTACCCAGAAGAACGAGCTGCACCCTGGGAAGTTTACAGGATAAAGAGGAGTTTCCCAAGTGGTCCACAGAACAGGTTTGTGTTGAAGAAGATGGAGCCAGAAAGGGAGAGCACAGTCCCAGCTCAGGGAACACACCCCAGGGGACTTGTTGCCTTCTGGGGGACTCCTTCCTCCAGGTAAGATCCCTGTGTCCCCCCCAGAGGAACCAGATGTTGGTTCCAAGGACTGTGAATATTAATATTTTGCAATTCTGTCTTCAGGCCTGCTGCTCATTTATTCACCCAGCATGAAATGGTTTGACACTGGGTGCTGGGCGGGGTCTTCTTCTGGGTACCAGAAGGACAAGGCGGAGGTGGGGGGGCGGCACATGACAAAGTCCCTGTCTTTTGTTTGCTGGCAGGAATCTTAGCAGGGTGCTAAACAATTACACAGTGTGGTATTTGGGACTAAGAACAGCAAATGGGGAGAAGGAAAAGCCAGGCAGTGACTGGGTGAGAGGGGAGCCCAAAAGAGCCCTCAGCCAAGGTAACACTTGAGCAGAGGCCTGGAGTCATTGAAGAATGAGCCCTCCTCCAGACCAGGAAGAGCTTCCAGAAGGAGGAAAGGAACAGGATGTGCGGGCCTGAGGAGGCAGTGAGGGTTTGTATCACTAGATGTATGCTGAGAGAGGACCATGGTAGGTGTCCTGGGACGGTCGGCAGGAGGCAGGCAGGAATTCTGGGAGAGGAACATGGGGACTGTGGATTCTATTTGCAGTGGGGTGATGTGGGGGGAAGGAGATATTTGAACTGTCGCACCTGACCTGATGTGGGCTTCCCCTAGAACCTCTCAATGCCTGTCATGCCACATCCTGCCTGCCTGGCTCCAGGGTTTGTGAACAGTGAGAAACCCAATGTCTTTGGGAATAACGGAACAAGACGGAATCCCAGCTGGGAGGCCTCAATCAAGCATCTGTCTCCTCCCGGCCTGTTTCTTCACAGAGTGTGGTGACCACTGAAAAGGGTCACAAGTCCACTTCCCTCTCACACACAGGGGCGGGGTGGGGGGCTTCGTGCAGGCTAAACAAAGCACTTCTTACCTCCCTGCTCTTGCTTCCTCCCATGTACCCGTTCTCTTTCTGGGAAAGAAACCCGGGAGGTGGCCGCAGAGGAAGGAATGCTATCTTGTGGGCCCTAAGAGGGCCCCTAAGTTCTTCAGGATGAGACAAGATAGGGCGAATCTGAAGAGGCCAACAGGCAAATTTAGGCTCCTATGAAATGGAGGAAAGGAAGGTGTACAGGAGCCGCACGTCATCTTCTACTTCGATTTTACTAAGCCCAAGCAGGAACCACAGTGTCCACCAGGACGTATGATGGACTTTCACTTCTTCAGGTTACATAGTAAACTGACATAATGCACTCCCAACCTTGAAACTGGCACCTATGGCTGGGTGTGGTGGCACATGCCTTTATTTGCAGCACTTGGGAGGCAAACGCAGGCAGGCAGATCTCTGTGCGTTCTGTGCCAGTTCCAAGCAAGCCAAGTGTGCACGGTAAGATCCTGTCTCAAACACAAAACAAAAAACACGTGAAAAGGGTGAAGGCGGAGCGAGAGGATCCTGGCCGGTAGCACCGCGTGGGGAAGTCGGAGGGCAAGTTTCACCCTTCTCCAGGAGACTCCTACAGTTTTGGTTGTACCTGTAGGGTTATCAACCAGGCCCAGCCAGGTGCAACTCTGCTGGAGTGAGGGCCTAGCGACCAGGCCTCGCCCCGAGGGCGGGTCATTACAAAGCCCCGCCTTCTGCGCGTGACCTGCCCCGCCCCCGCTCCACTTCTCTGTCACTTCCTGATTCCCGCTTCCTGCTTCCCAGAGGCCGGGATCCGGAGCCGCCCGAGGTTGCTGCCTCAGTCCCGGGCGCCCCTGGCGAGCGGTGAGCGGTGAGAGCGGCAGGGCTGGAGTAGGGGCGCAGACGTGGGCTGGGGCAGGGGGCATGAGTCAGAAGAGCGCATCCCCTCCGCGGCGCCCCACCCTCAATCCTAACCCCCCTCCCCCAGCGGCCCATCTTTCCTTTCCTGGGCAGGGATCTTTGGAAGTTGGGTCTCTGGTGTTCTTTGGACGGTTCTCTGAGGCCACTTTGAGAACCTGGTAGCATCCTCGAGACCCCTGTTCTGCCAGGGTCTCTATGCCGGACTTCCTGCACCTCTTTGCACATTCCCTGGGACTCAGCTGCGGCCTAGCTGGAAGACCAAACAAACCCTTTTACTGCCTCGTCTCCCCATCACCCAACCTCCAAACTCTGGTCGTGTAAAGCTGCTTGGAATCATTTGGGAGCTATAGATCTAAGCTCTGTCTTCCTTGCAGCAGCATCCGTACACACATACATGCGTGCGCGCACACACACCACACACACACAGATAACAGAGCCACGGAAGGCCTTGCGGGGAAGAGTCTGTTGGTCTTCACCTATGAACCCATTCTATAAGTGGGGAAACTGGAATTCCCAATGTCATCATGACCAATTCCCTGATGACACGGCTCTGTGTGTCTCTTTGGAGGCCAGAGCTGATCCAGGTGTCTCTGTCCTGTAGACATGTCCTTCCGAAAAGTGGTGCGACAGAGCAAATTCCGACATGTGTTCGGACAGCCGGTCAAGAATGACCAGTGCTATGAGGACATTCGAGTGTCCCGGGTCACCTGGGACAGTACCTTCTGCGCCGTCAACCCCAAGTTCCTGGCAGTGATTGTGGAAGCCAGTGGCGGGGGAGCCTTTATGGTGCTCCCTCTAAGCAAGGTGGGCCCCAGGGGTCAGGGTGGAGAGGAGGAATGAGGACATGCTGGCCACACCTGTGGACAGGGCAGTTTGTGCCATTTCTTGGCCCATGGCTACTGCTGGACAAGTCATAGTCCAGATTTATTGCCCAGGAGGTGTGGGTGCAAATAAAAGGTGTTTATTGCCACCAAGTTTGGATAGTAGGCTGCAGGCATTTCCTGCACGGAGTCACATCTGGGCCACCAGAAACGAGGGTAGTCACCTCACTCTTTCATCATGAAGGGGCCACAGATGCTGGGAGGAATGGGGACTGGGGCTGTTGGTTCCCCTCTGACTGCACTTTAATGCCTACAGACAGGCCGCATTGACAAGGCCTACCCAACAGTGTGTGGGCACACGGGACCTGTTCTGGACATTGACTGGTGTCCCCACAATGATGAAGTCATTGCCAGTGGCTCAGAGGACTGCACAGTCATGGTGAGCATAGGGCTGTTCAAATGAGGGTCTCGGGGTATGGCCGAAGGTTGCTGGCGGTGGGGCCAACACAGGCCTGGGCCCATCCCCCCTCTCCCTACCACAGGTATGGCAGATTCCAGAGAATGGGCTGACCTCACCTCTGACTGAGCCAGTAGTAGTGCTTGAGGGGCACACCAAGCGTGTGGGCATCATCACCTGGCACCCCACAGCCCGGAATGTGCTTCTCAGTGCAGGTCTGCACACTCCCTTCCCCTTCATACCCTTCTCCAGGGTGGCCGTGGAATGTTCAGCAGCCTCTCACAGGCCAGTCCGGAAACTCATGCCTACAGAGAGGGAAACCTAGTTTAGTACCGGTGGGCAGAGTGGGTCTGGCGGGCTGACGGCCCCACAGCTGCAGGCCTGGGCCTGACAGAGCTGCTGATCGTTTGCCTACCAGGTTGTGACAATGTGGTGCTTATCTGGAACGTGGGCACTGCAGAAGAGCTGTACCGTCTCGACAGCCTGCACCCTGACCTCATCTACAATGTGAGCTGGAACCACAATGGCAGCCTGTTCTGCTCAGCTTGCAAGGACAAGAGTGTCCGCATCATCGATCCAAGGCGGGGCACCCTGGTGGCAGTAGGTATCCCAGAGGGCAAGAATGACAACATAGAGACTCAGGGTCTTGACCTGCACTGCACTGACCACCTGTCCATCCTGCAGGAGCGGGAGAAGGCTCACGAGGGGGCCCGGCCCATGCGGGCCATCTTTCTGGCCGATGGCAAGGTGTTCACCACCGGTTTCAGCCGCATGAGTGAACGTCAGCTGGCACTCTGGGACCCAGTGAGTGATGTAGCCAGCCTCCTAAGGCGGGCAGGCTTGAGACCTGGGCCTCACCCTAGGATACTCCTCCCTGGGCCAGGCAGACAGAGATCAGCATGGAGGAGAAGCCTGCACTGCTTAGATCCTCAGCTTGGCCCTTGAGACTTCCCTCCCTTCCCTGACTCCAGCTCTCTGGCTCTCTCTGGCTCTCCTCCAGTGCCTCCTACACTCTTCTTTCTGCTTGCACAAACCATAAAGGTACCCTCCTCCTGGGAGCCCCCAGACCCTGCCCTTGCTACACTCTGTCTCTCAGCAAAGTGAACCCAAAGGCCCCTTTGACGCCTGGGCTGGTACCATCTGGCCCTTCAGCCTTCCTGTAACCAGACTTACTTAGCCCTTGCCTGTCAGTTTGGGAATAGGTTTACAACCCAGAGGAGGCTGGGAAAGTAGGACCTGGGAATGGAGAAAACCATTAGCATGTTGGGGATTGTTGCTGTCTGTTGTGTGAGACTGGCTGAGGCCAGTCCTGGAGGGTTCAGAATGAGAAGCTTCTGACTTGGCCCCATTGTCCCCCATGTCCTTAGGACAACCTTGAGGAGCCTATGGCCCTGCAGGAGTTGGATTCCAGCAATGGGGCCCTGCTGCCCTTCTATGACCCAGATACCAGTGTGGTCTATGTCTGTGGCAAGGTGAGGCTTGGTGGGGCAACAGACTGGGGCTGAGAGGCCGGGAAAGGGTCTGGTCAAGTGCTGAGCTTCTTTACCCTCACAGGGCGACTCCAGCATCCGGTACTTTGAGATCACAGACGAGCCTCCCTATATCCACTTCCTGAACACATTCACGAGCAAAGAACCCCAGAGGGGTATGGGTAGCATGCCTAAGAGGGGCTTGGAGGTCAGCAAGTGTGAAATTGCCCGGTAAGAAGGTTCTCTGAGGCAGCTATCTATAGGCAGAGTTTATTTGAGGACCCAGTCAGGATTGGGAGGGGCGGGGTGGCTCAGACTGAGCAAGGCCAGGTCATCAGCATCCACAGTAAGAGTTCAGATGATGGAGACTAAGTTAGGCATGGTGTCATACACCTGTTATCCCATCATTTGGGAGTTCAGAGGACTGCAAGTACAGAGGCTAGCCTGGGCTACATAGTAAGTTCAAGGTCAGTCTGAACTGTATAGCAAGACCTTGTCTCAAGCAAAAAGCAAAGGAAAGGACTGGCAGTGTAGCTCAGTTGGTGGCGTGCCTGCCTCGCACAAAGCCCAGGGTCCTGCCACAGCACTGTAATGTGAAAGCTGCAGTTCAGGAGGCAGAGCTGAAGAAGGTCATCCTTGGCTCTATAGGATATCCAAGGCCAGCCAGGGATATAGGAAACCATGCTTCAAAAAAAAGAAATAGCACGGGTCTTTAATCTCAGCTCCCTGCAGAGGCAAGCTGATCTCCATGAGTTTGAAGAAAGGACGGTCTACATAGTGAGTTTCAGACTTCCATGGCTATACAATGAGACCCTGCCTTTAAAAAAAGAGACAAGAAAAGAAAGAAAAGAAAAATCACAAAGTTGCCTAGGATCACTCTAGAGGGACCCTTAAGACAGGGAGGCCATAAGCAGAAGTCACCAGGCAGCCTGTAGAAATGTCCAGGTTCCACTGTGGCTCCCCTCCCTTTTCCAGGTTCTACAAACTGCATGAGCGCAAGTGCGAGCCCATAGTCATGACTGTGCCAAGAAAGGTGAGGCTGCATGACCCCGCCCCCCACACCCTTCCCAGCAGAGGGGCCACTCCAGGGCAATGGGCGAGGTTGGGAGATAGCTGGAGGGATGACACAGGGTGCCCTGAGGCCCTGCAGTGACAGAGGCCAAGCATAGAGGGCCTTCATAGGAGAAAGGTCCAACAGTAGGATTGGAGTGGTGCTCTGTTGGGAGGGGGCTAGAAAGACAGGGGCTCTGGCCCTGAATCCCTTGGGGAGGGGCCTGGCTACATATGACTTGTCCTCGGATGCCGAGCCAGGAGCCTGGAACACATTCCCGCTGTCCTCCATTTGGTATTCACAGGCTCAGTGTGCCAGGAACGTCCTGGAGCAGAGCCCACAATCCTTCTATGGAGTACAGATCTGGCTCTCAGGACTCACAGAGCCATACAGCTGGCCCTTGTGGTCTGCTGGAGAGGGTGCCAGCAAGGGCTGTGCCCAGGAGGATCCGACAAGACTTGAGAGGGAACATTGGAAAAGAAAGTGGAAGGAGAGATTGGCACTCTCAAAGTCCCTGGGGATCAGACCTTTGGAGGATGGGTTGGGAAGAGTCCCACAAGTCAGACTGGGCGGTGGTGGTACACACCTTTAATCCCAGCGCTCAGGGTGGCAGAGGCAGGCGGATCTCTGAGTTTGAGGCCAGCCTGGTGAATTCCAGGTCAGCCAGGGCTACACAGAAACCGTCTTGAAAAAGAAAGGGAAAAAAAAAAGTCGGGAAGGTGTTGAGGATGCAGCTACTCACTCAGAGACCAGATGTGAGACCCCTGGTAGGGCCCCCAACTGATTCTGACCTCTCCTACCTGGTGCGCAGTCTGACCTCTTCCAGGATGATCTGTACCCTGACACAGCCGGACCTGAGGCTGCTCTTGAGGCAGAGGATTGGGTGAGCGGGCAGGATGCCGATCCGATCCTGATCTCACTACGGGAAGCCTATGTGCCCAGTAAACAACGGGACCTGAAGGTCAGCCGGCGAAATGTACTATTGGACAGCCGGCCTGCCAGTTCCAGCCGTCCCGGAGCCGCCACAGCTACCACAATTACGGATGTTCCCATTGGCGCCCTTGCTGGGGCTGGTGTATGTGTCCTACATTTGGGGGTGCTTTCCCATTGGCTGGACCTCAGGCCTTTACTGTAGGGGTAGGTTATGGCTGGTGCCCTGACTTCCATGTTTTTGCAGGAATCTGGGAAACTAGAAGAGGTGATGCAAGAGCTTCGGGCACTTCGGGTGCTGGTCAAGGAACAGGGGGAGCGCATCAGCCGCCTGGAGGAACAGCTGGGCCGCATGGAGAATGGGGATACATAGGACCACCAGGGACGTGCTCCCAACACTGCCTCCTTCTCCGCACCCCCTCTCACCTAGCTTCTGTGGCCAGGTCGCACAGGCAGTTTGCTGCTTAGCGCCTCTGGGGCAGGTCATGACCAGTTTGCACCTCTCCACAGCCTGGGGCCCAGGTTGGAAGCACCACTTGGCTTTTGGAAGATTTTTGTATTCCCAAGTACTTCAAGGGACCATCTTCTCGACCTGCCCAGCCCACTGCTCCCTCCCCAGAGAAAGCAGCAGAGATGGTTCTATATTTTCATTTTAAATAAAATGCTCTTTCTAAAGCCAGGTTTGACCTGCTGCTGTGGAGGGTTGGGGGTGGGGGGCACTAGGAACGGAAACTGCAAACTTTATGTGGAAAGTAGCTCCTGCGTACTTGAATTCCACCATGCAGAGAAACTGAGGCAAAAAGGGTGTGAGAGATGGGTTAGTGGATAAAATCACTTGCTAAGCAAGCCTGATGACCTGAACTTGATCCCTGCAACCCACGATAGAGAGATCTAACTTCCGTATATACCCACATGTGTAGGCATGTACAGAGTTGATTTGTTTTCCTGAGACAGGGTTTCTCTGTGTCCTGGCCATCGTGGAACTCTGTAGATCAAGGTGGCCTGGAACTCATGAGATCCGCCTGCCTTTGCCTCTTGTTTTGATTTCTAAAGGCTAGTACGGTACACACCTTTAGTCCCAGAGCACTCCAGGGGTAGAAGAGGAGGATCACCTTGAGTTCCTGGCCAGCCAAAGCCACACAGTGGATGTCCTGTTTCAGTTAGATGCACACTTCCTCCCTTTGGAGTTCTGGTCTTATATCCTGTGGCCACAACCTCACCTAGAGAGGCCTGGGAAGATTTGGTCTGGGTCTGGGGATCCTGAGAGGCTGAGACCCCATGAGGGTCCTATGATAGGCTAGAGTGGGTGGGGTGTTTCAGGCAGGAAACGGAAGTGTCAGTAACTCCTACTAGCTACTATACTTGAGCGCTCCGGAGCTCACTTCTCACTAAACACAGCCAGTCAGAGGTGGGTGCCCGTGCAAAGGCCATCGGATCAATGGTGAGCTGTGGAGCCCTCTGGGTTCTTGGGGCACAGTGGGCTGGGGATGGATTTGGGGGATTTCAGAGCTAAGGGGTCCCCTCACAAGAGACCTGGGGTAGAAAAGCCCAGGACTAACATGGGGTGGTACCTGGCCCTCACCTCAGAGCTGGGCTCTCTGGAATTCAGGATAGGTCCTGCAGTACCTCATTCTAGTTGTGGCCCTACTCCAAGACCCTTGGAATAGTCCCTCATCTGATCCCCCTCATGAGCTGAGTTTGGGTGTGACTCCTTCTCTGGAGCCTGGTGTGCTAAGGGAGGCTTTCACCCAGCACCCCTCCCCCACCCCTACCACACCCCCCCACCTGCTTTGTTCCAACCGCAGGCTTCCTTTGATAGCTATATGTGCTGCCCCAAACTGAGTCTTGGCCCTGCACGCCTGAGGCCCTCCAGGGCAGAATGGGGAGCTGAACGGAAACCCTGCAGCTGGGGCAGCCCCATGGTTGAGAGGAGGGGCTTCAAAGATCCCCCCCATCCTAGGACCAGTCAACCTCTGAGTTGATCTAGATACCTCCATCATGGCCTCCAGAGAGCCACCTGCTTCTCAGGCCCCCCAGCTCCCTCCACTGCCCAGGCAGGCCATTTTAACACATCTGGCTAATGTCCATTAAACATCTAGGTGCCACCATGGTTTTAAGTGGTGTCCCCCTCCCAATTCCATCATCTAGGAGCTTATTCTGATGGGAAGGGAACAGAATAATCAATTTTTTCTCTGGTGTGGGATTTGATGGGAGAAGAGTAATTAAGGGACGGGTTAGCTGTAGAGGGCTGGTGGGTCTCATCAGCAGGGCCTAGACCATGGCAAGCAGGCAGGCTTGAGGCTGTGGAAGTCCAGCATCTGAGCAGTGCACAGGCCTCAGGCAAAATGGCAGACCAGGGGCAGTGAGAAGTGACTGCAGGGTTGAGTTGAAGGCGGTCACACTAGGGCAAGGCCTTAACCAAATAAGGGCTGGGGATTTTCTGCTTGACTGTCCCTGTTTTGCTTGAGGCAACTAAAGATTGTGTCAGAAAAGATCAGTTGGTTTCATCAATAACAACTTCTCCCTGCTGTCTCCCACAGGCTCTGCCTGGTACCCTCAGATTTAGGGTGCTGTTAGCCCTGCCCGGGGCCCTGGCCTCTGGGGTAGGCACAGAGGATGGTGCAGGCTCCAGTGCTGTCACCATCATCCTGCTGTTCCTGCTCCTGCTGCTACTTGTCACTGCCCTGGCCTTCGCCTGGCATCGCCTCAGTCGTGCCTCAGGGGGCTACTACCACCCAGCTCGCCTGGGTGCTGCGTTGTGGGGCCACACCCGCCGCCTGCTCTGGGCCAGCCCTGCAGGCCGCTGGCTTCGGGCCCGCACTGACCTGGGATCCCCAGAGGAACCAGGGCAGCAAGAGGAGCAGGATGCAGAAGAGGATTTCATGATGGATGGTGGCCCTGAGGAAGCTGGTCCCCAGGAAGAGGAGCAGCGGTGTGAAGCCGGAGCTCAAGCAAAGCAGGCCCCAGCAGCATATGACACAGACAGTGAAGGGGGCCTAGGCCTCAGCTCGCAAGGCCCCGTGGGCTCAGGCAGCAGTGCTGAGGCCCTTCTGAGTGACCTGCACGCCTTTTCAGGTAGTGCAGCCTGGGATGACAGTGCTGGAAAAGCAGGGGGCCAGCGCCTTCATGTCACCGCACTATAGGAGCCAGCCTGCTGTCCTGTCCCTGCCCCAGCCTCTGACTGTCTCTTTTCATGCTGTCCTGATGAAACAAGAACCAGCCTGGACCATCATCATCCCATGCAGCTTAGACTGCCACCCCGACCAGTTTCCCAGAGTGTCCCTCTCCCCCTCCCCAGGCACTGGGCAGACACCGAAAATAAAACTTCTTAAGTCCTGAGGTCTGGAGTCCTTTAGCATTCCTCCTCCCCTCCTCTCCCTAAATGGGCCATTCTGGTGTCCTGCAGTCCAGCGGAAGCCATTCTGCCAGGATTCAGTCCTTTAATTCTCTAAGGGCACAGGTGAAGTCCCTTCTGGTGGGATGGGTGTTAGACCCGTGGTAAGTCTGCTGCCAGGGCTGTACGCTGCAGCCCTACATGTACATGATTATAGGGCTCAGCCACCCAAGAGATACACCCAGATGGGAGGCGGCCAGGTCCTCACAGCCAACAGGGAGCTGGCCTCAGGGCTGCCCTCTTCCTCTGTTCTCAGCGTCCTGGGCGCCCACGGCCCTTCTTGGATTTCTTGGTCCCTGAGGGGGGACGGATGGGAAGAGGGGCAGTGCTTGTGGGTGGTGGTGGTGATGGTGGTGGCAGGAGTGGAGGTAGAGATGGCTCCATGGGCTCTGGTGGGCCAGGGCTGGGCCGGAACCCCTCAAAGGGCGAGAACTTGAGGGGGCTGCAGGAAAAACCAAGGCAGAGTCAGAGCCTCCTAAGCTTAGGCAGGAATACTGGCAGTAGGTCCACAAACGGCCGTTTTAGCAGTCCATTGCAGATGTACAGGGACTGGGGTTCCGGTGGGCAGGAGACAGGCTAGCCCTAAAGAAAATCTTGACCAGAGTATCCCAAAGGTAGTCTGTGCTAGAGAGACCCACCCCAGTCACATGCCTGCCCTGTCCCTGGGTACCTGATGGGGGTGCGGGGGCTGCTGTTAAGGCGCCTGGGGGAACGCAGCTTGGGCTGGAAAGAGAAGCCCTCCTTGATGCTGTCCAGGACAGAAGGTGCCACATACGTGAAGCCCTGTGGGGAAAGGCCAGGTCAGCCAATGCTTGGCATTTCCAGTCCCTGGCTACAATCCCTTCTCTGGTCCCCATAACCCCCATGCCCTCACCAGGAAGGCTTGGTTGGCACTCTCACTGAGGGCTGTGTCATCTGGACTATCTACTGGAGTCTGCCGTGTAAAACGTGTATCAAACTGGCTCACGTCCTCTTCTGACTGCTGTGGGAAGATCCATGTAGAAAATTAGGGGGATCTGAAGTGCAGGGTCTCCACCTGCCATAGGGGCCAAAAGGATCCCCAGATACTCACCAGACTCGGCCTGAAGGGAGGGTCCACCCGGCGGGCCAAGAGGTCATCCCAATTGATGTGCCGGAAGAAGGGGTGCCTCTGAGGTTGGAGGGTGCCCAGGAACATGTCAGAGACTCACCTTGCCTAGCTCCCTGCTTTAGCCCACTTCATCCTCTGGCCCTAACTCCTTATCCTAACCCCAGACTCACCTGCACCTCAGCAGCATCTCCTGGGCCACCCCCAATTCGTTGAACGGGATTCCGCTTCAGAAACTGCAGAAGCAGAGAAGAGGTAAGGGTGGATGCCCCATTTCCAGAATGGGGAGAAGGCAAGCAGAAACAAGGTACAGACTCTGGAACATGGCCTCTGCCCACCGAACCCCTTGATACTGGGTTGAGTGCCCTCTTCATGAAGCCTTGGCAAAGCTCCTGCTCAAGGCCATCTTAGAGGCCTTAGAATCTATGTGACACTCCCTCCCTTTAACAGGATGATGCTGGCACTTCTGATGGAATACGGCTAGCTCACAAGAATACCCTGCTGATGAAGACACAGACCCAGGACTGCTCAGGGGCAGTGGTGAGGCTCTCAGAACCCAGGCCTGAACTCAGGGTCTTGAGCTCCAAAGCCAATGTTCCTATCATTTCCAGGGGCAAACTGCACAGGATGGGGGCCTGGCCTTCCCCAGGGCCTAAGGACACTCAAGCATATGTACAGGATTACTGTCTGTCAAGGCTTAGGGGAAGAGATGGGAGCCTGGACAGGAGGGAGCCCCACCTTTTTGACAAGGTCCCGGGCATCCGGGGTGAGGTAGGGGGGCAGCACCAGCTTCCCTTTCATGATTTTATCCATAGTTTTCTTTCGGTTCTCTGCGGTGAAGGGCGGCTGGAAGAGGCAGAAAGTGAGAGCAGTCTAGGGGGATCTTCCCACCCAGTCTTGCCCCAGCCTGGAAGGGGGGGTCTCCCCAACACCCACCCTCCTCCCAAGGAGCTGGACTTGCCGATCCAGTGAGCATGTCGTACATCAGGGCCCCCAGGCTCCACCAGTCCACTGCCCGGTTGTGGCCGCTGCGCACTAGAATCTCTGGGGCCCTGGGAGACAGGTGAACTGTCAGTAAGGGCAAGCCCTCTTTGGTTATTCTCTCAGACCCAGGGCCAGTCAGGTGCCACTTACATGTACTCGATGGTGCCACAGAAGGTGTGCGTGATGGCACCATCATGAATGGACTCTTTGCAGAGTCCAAAGTCTGTCAATTTGATGTGGCCTGAGAAAGAACATTAAAAGGGATAACATGGGGGTGAAATGTGGCCCAGGCCTACAGGTGGGTTCCTCACCCCTACCCTGCAGACCACCAAGACAGGGGGTGTGAGCAGGCACGCCTGCAACGTGCTCACCCTGGCTGTTGAGCATGATGTTCTCCGGCTTGAGATCCCGGTAGATGATGCCTTGGGAATGGAGATGGCCCAGGGCCAGCGTGATCTCAGCCAAGTAGAAGCTGCAGAGACAGGACAAGATGAAGGCAGGGCAAAGGTGGAGCGAAGGCAAGGACAAGCACCCCCAGAGACCCACCAGGCTGTGTCTTCCAGGAAGATGCCTTCTCGCTCAAGATGTGTGAAGAGTTCACCACCTGTGAGGCAAGCACAACAGCAGCTGTGTACTCAGGCCCAGTCCTGCTGCTGCCTGTCAGTTTCTTCTAGAGAAAAGTGGGGCGTGTAGATCCCACCCTACCTGCCTCCCAGAGCTGCCGTGGGGACTCAATTCAATCAGCAAACATCTACCGTCGCCTACTCACTCGGTGCCTGGCCCTGTGCTGGGTGAAGCTGGGGCAGAGTTGAGGAGACCCAGCCATTGCCCTCAGGATGCTCAGTCTGATGGGGAGACAGACATGCGCACAGTGCTCTAGGATGCCAGGCGCAGGTAACAGCTCTGAGAACTTCACCACGGAGCTTCGTGGTGGAGGACATAGGAAGCTAATCTCAACAAAAAGATGGAGAAAGGGCAACAAAAGTGTGGCTTTCAGGGTGTCGATATAGTGAAGAAGGATGCCAAGCATGCAGAGACAAGCTCGTGGGGCTCAGCTGGTACTAGAGAAGCAGGGAGAAAGAGTGGGCCTTGGTCACCCTTGGTAAGCAGTGGTGTGACCGAAAAGGCCAAGGCTTTGTTTGGGTAGTTAGAGATGTGTGCTCTAGGATGATGGCCTTTGCAATTAGTGGAGGATATACAAGAACCCAAGTGGGCTAGACCCTCAAAGCCAGTTTAGAAACAGACTTGCTGTGTATGGTGGCACATGCCTTAATCCAAGACAGGGGCGGGGAGTGTCTTTGAGTTCTATGTGGTAAGTTCCAGGTCAGTCAATGCTATACAGTGAGACCGTGTCTCAAAGGACAAAACAAGTAGGTGTAGTGGCACATGCCTTAACCCCAGCGCTCAGTAGACACAGCCAGACCTCCTGAGTTTGAGAATCTGAATTCAAGGTGGATCTCCTGAGTTCAGGGCCAGCACGGTCTACATAGTAAGTTCCAGGCAAGCCAAGGCTACACATAAGCAGACCTTGTCTCAAAACAAAAACAAAAAATGACCTTATAGAAACAGTTACTATCCATGAGACTTCCAAGATGAAGAAGGATGCAGCTAGATGGGGACCTGGCACACGGGGGACAGGCAGGAAAGGTAGCAAAACTGGATGGAATTCCCTCTGGACATCTAGACAAGCTCCCACCAGACCCACACACCCCACAAACACTAGGCACTGGATGGATGTTTGCTGAATGAATGAACAAATGGAGGACAGACAGATGGACATATGGCAAGGCATGGTGTTTGAGCCTCCCAGCCATCCTCCACCACCACGTTTCTCAGGATTCCCTGAGTCCTCATGCTCCCCATGCTTGTCCCCTGCCCCCCACTACTCAGCCTCGCCCACACACCTACCACTGAGGCACTCCAGGATGAGGTAGAGTTTGCCACCTGTCTGGAAAGCGTAGGCCAGCTCCACAATGAAGGGATGCTTCACAGATTCTAGAATGTTCCGCTCAGCCCGGGTATGTGCTGTGTCCTTGGCATTGCGTACAATCTTGGCCTAGAGATGCAGGACTGGGTTAGAGAGTGAAGTACCAGAGTGATTTCCTTTGGGCTCTGCTGTTTTACTGTTTTGCAGAACGTTCAACGCCAGTATTCAACCATGTTGGTGTTCTAGTAAGTACAAGGAAAGTCAGGTTTCAAATATATATTAATATACAACTTGGGGTCGGGCGATGTGGCGCAGGCCTTTAATCCCAGCACTCGGGAGGCAGAGGCAGGTGGGTCTCTGTGAGTTCAAGACCAGCCTGGTCTACAAGAGCTAATTTCAGGACAGGCTCCAAAGCTACAGAAAAACCCTGTCTCAAAAAAAAAAAAACAAAAAACAAAAAAAACCCCAACAACTTGGTGATATAAGCGTCTAGACTCTAGGTCTGTGTAGACATGGGCATGCAGTGATGTCAAGATGACTAGAGGACTGGGGACAAGGCCCAGATGTTAAAAGTACAGGCTATGCAATCATGGAGATCTGAGTTCAAACGCCCAAGTATTGACATAAAAAGTCAAGGGTGAAGCTGGGTGGCAGTGGCGCACGCCTTTAATCCCAGCACTTGGAAGGCAGAGGCGGGCAGATCTCTGTGAATTCAAGGCCTGCCTGATCTACTAGAGCTAGTTCCAGGACAGGCTCTAAAACTACAGTGAAACCCTGTCACAAAAAACAACAACAACAACAAAAAAAGCCAAGGACGGCTGTGTGTGCCTGTAACCTAGGCACTGTGGGAGGTGGAGACAGAAGGATCACTGGGGCTTGCTGGCCACCAGCCTAGCTCCAGGTTCAGTGAGAGACCCTGTCACATGAGAATAAGAAAGTGATAGAGTAGGGAATCCTATGCTGCCCTCTGGCCTCTATCATGTATAAATCATACATTAGTTTAAAATGATTAGGATTTGTGAAAGATCGTTAGTCAGTTGCAGTTAAAGGCTGCCCCACTTTCACACCTGTCTTCTTGCTTCTCAGCCACTGCCCTTCTCCTATCTTTTTTTTTTTTTTCAAGACAGGGTTTCTCTAGATTTGGAGCCTGTCCTGGAGCTCGCTCTGTAGATCAGGCTGGCCTCGAACTCACAAAGATTGCCTGCCTCTGCTTTCCAAGTGCTGGGATTAAAGGCGTGCACCACCACCACCTGGCCCTTCTGTCATCTTTTGCCACTCAAATTTCTGTGTAATTCTACTGCTATGAGTAGTAAACCTTTTCAGGAACTGGTTTATCCTCTCAGTTTCTCAACCTTGACACTCTGTTTGTTGTTCAAGACAAGATATCATTATGTAGCCCAGGCTGTCCTAAACCAAGTCAGAGCCTCCTCCTGCTTCATCCCTTCAAGCCCTGAGGCGACAGGGTGTATCCCATCAAATTCAGTGAACTACTGACACGCTGAGCCAGACAAGTCTTTGTTGTTGGTTCCTGTTTATCTGCCTCTCTACCTTTTAGTCACTGATTGTCAACTGTACTTCCCCTACTAGTCATGGCCATCAAAACTTGCCAATGTGCCCCAGCAGACAGGTTGCTCCCTTTCAAGAATGACTGAAAAACAGTACGTGACAATAGGTACTAAGCCAGCAAGTGACAAGATAGAGATTGTCTTCATCATGTTCACGGTTGTCCTCCCAAAGCCTGGAACAGGTTGTGGGGTGGAGGCTGTCTCCACCAAGTTCACGGTTGTCCTCCCAAAGCCTTGGACAGGTTGTGGGGTGGTAGCGACTCAGCATTTGCTGGCTGAGCAAATGGCTCACCTTTCTCAAGACTTTCATGGCGTATATTTTCCCCGAGTTGGCACCTTGCACTTTTCTCACTTGGAACACCTGTAGGACAGGGGAAGCAGGATCAACATTCCTCACACATCCTATTTTCAAGGAGCCCCACCCTAAGGCTCTAGTACTGGGACCAAAAGCACTAAACTCAGCTCAAGGGTGGAGCACTTAAGATCTCTATCAGATTTTGAGAGGTTCTGCCCTTCCCTCCCTTGGGTTTCCACCTCTAAATCCCCTTCAGAGGCTCCACACAGAAGCCTATTGGGTGTGAAGGATGGTATGCTGCCCCAGGCTAGAGCTGAGGTCACCATGAGGGGAAGGGGTGCTAGTACCTTCCCATAGCCCCCCTTGCCCAGCACATTCAGAAGCTCAAAGCAATGGGGTCCGATGCGTTCTGGGCCCAGGTTCACGCTGCTCTCCGTCAGCTCCACCTCCTCATAGTGTCCCACCGTCCTAAAGACACAGAAAGTTAATGAGAGCAAGGCTCTGGTGTACCCCAAGTCCCATCCCTACTCCGTGTCCCCGGCCCCCAGAAAGACCCCTCACTCACTCCAGGCCAGCAGCCCTCAACTCGCCAAGGGGACACACCTCCTGTGAGAAACCGAGGGGTAAGAACCATGGAGATGCATGAACATCTCCTCCCAATCCAGGGGGAACTCTTGGCCCAGGAGAAAGGACCAAAGATGGGAGACAGGAATGGGGGAAAGGTGGGGAAGAGAGACCAAGGGCAGAAAGGGAAGACTGGGTTCAGGGGCTGGGGTTGGATCTGGGAAGGATGGGGCACTCAAGAGTAGGGAGTGTCGTGCCTTTGGTTAGCCGGCTGGGCCCCCGGGTCCAGTCGTGCCCGGCGGGAAACACTCACCGCAGGGCTGAACTCCGGCTCGCCCTCGCCCTCGCTGCCTTCCTCGGTTTCCAAGTCTAGGTCAAACACGGCGGCCATGGCTCCGCCGGCCCCGGCGGCCCCTTGGCCCGGACCAGGCGGAGTTCTGACTGACAGCCCAGGCTTGGGAGCTGCGTTATCTCTCCGCGACGGGCAGCCGCGCGCGCTGCTGACGCAAAGTAGCTTCGCCCACTCTCTCGCAAGTCCTTTAGCCAGGTGGGAGGGAATATGGTGGCTGTCGCAAAGTCTCTCGGGAGTTGTAGTTCCAGAGACCTGGACCAGCTATCCTGCAGCCCTCTGAACAGGCTATACTAGACTGTCTCTTCCTAATCCCGCTCTCCCGGGTCTGCACCCGACGCGAGTAACGCAGAGCCTCCTTTTTGGCTCTGGGATAAGTTCGAGATTGAATGGGCAGAATCACAGGCACATGCAGGTTTGAGTTAAAATGGCAAATCTACAGCTGTTCTTGGAGCTGAGTTGCCAGGCAAGTAGTGACTACTAGGAACTAGTTGGCTGTATTAGGGACACTCCCCACAATCTCCCAAAAACTCACAGACGCTGCAGGTCTGACATTTGCTGGGTGACTGCCTGGGCTTTATTACCGGGCTCGCATTCTGAAGGACTCAGCAGACTGAAATAAATAAGGCCTTTTATGAACTTAAGCATGTTAAAGTGTTCCTGCTTCCTGGTTCAGAATAGGTACTTAAATAGAATGTGTTTGAAAGGCCAGGCAGTGGTGGCCTTTAATCCCAGCACTCGGGAGGAAGAGGCAGGCGAATCTCTGATCCACAGAGTGAGTTCCAGGAGAGTCAGTCTACAGAGTGCAACCCTGTCTCAAAAAACCAAACCAAAAAAAAAAAAAAAAAAAAACCCAAACCAAAGCAAAGCAAAAGAATATGGTTGAAAAGATGAAGGAGAGCTGGTGAGATGGTTGGGCTGGGGAGTGGGAGGATGGAAGGGTGGGGGGGATGAGTGGAGGGATTGGAGGGTAGGGGGGTGAGGGGGTAAGGGTGGGGTAAAATCACTTGTCACATAAGCCTAACTACTTGGGTTCTATTTCAGACCACGTCTGTGATTTTGGATTTGAGTTTATCTGGATGGACCTTCCCACTGCATGTGGGAGGCCCCTTGTGATGCAAGGTGTGAACTCAGATGAACCGAACTTATGGGTGTCCAGGCCAGCAGAGTGTTTACTATCTGGATGTGACGTAGGGCTGTAGTTCAAGCAAAAGAAAACCTCGAATTTAGGCCTAGATGTAAGTACAAGGTAGGCCCCTGCCAAAGGTCAGCCCAGGGGCTCAGACAATGGGGTGTTTTTCCTACCTTTCCCTCCCTCTCCCCAGCTCCACACCTATTGAACCTGGGCGGGGCACTGTGCAAAACCAACCTAGCCCAGAAAACTTCATTAGTTTACAAGTCTATTTGGGTAGACATGATTGGGGAGCTGCCCACAGTTTCCGTGCTGGGCAGAAGCAGGCGTTTTCAGAGTAGCTTCCCAGAATACAGAAACCGGTGTAGACAGAAGTCCTGCAGCCAGGCTAGTTAGGTACGCCAGAGGATAAAGCAGTGGAGCTGGTAGAGACGTGTGTGGAGTTCATCAGAGGAAGGTGTTCAGGAGCCTGAGTGCTGCTTCTGAGTGAGGGTAGGACCTGGAAGCTGAATGAGCATGTAAAACAGTAAACAGGCCAGGGCAGTGGTGGTGCACACCTTTAATCCCATCACTCAGGGGCAGAGACGGGCGGATCTCTGTGAGTTCAAGGCCAGCTCCAGGACAGGCCTCCAAAGCTACAGAGAAAGTCTGTCTCTAAAACAAAACAAAACCCAAAAAAACAAAACAGTAAACAGAAAAGGATGGTCTGTGCATCCTGTCTACATCCACTGAGGTAGGACCTTGGAGGCAGAGTCGACTCTCTGAGTCGGCTTCCTCATCTGTGACACAGGGACATTAGTGTCTGCCTGGAGGTGTGAAGGGAGATGGTTATTCCTACTTCTCAGGCCAACAGTCACAGTGAGGCACTGTTAGACATTTTCAGCAGGCTTCACAACTATCCTAGACTTTAGACAGGAGTGTTAATCTCAGTTTTCATGGGCTTTGGCCAAGGACAGAGATCCATGTAGGTTCCCTCCTCCTATAAGTGACATGAAGAGACAGGCCTGAAGGGGTGGTTGGGAGGACCTGGGTTTGGACCCACTACCATCTGGGATGGGCACGACAGTGTGGACATGAAGCTGCTATTTGTTAGTTACTTAAAGGCTAGAGTGTCCCAGGCTTTATCTTTTAGGCCACCGTATCTCTCATATCATGACACGGAGAATTCTTATTAGTTATGAAAGCTTGGCCATAGTTTAGGCTTGTTTCTTGCTAGCTCTTATAACTTAACCTGTTTCTCTTCATCTATGTTTTGCCCCAGGGCTTCTTATATTTTCTTTCTTTCTTTCTTTCTTTCTTTCTTTCTTTCTTTCTTTCTTTCACTGCTTCTTGTGTCTGGCTGGCTGGCAGTTGCCTGGCTTCTGGCCCCAGGTGTGTCCCTCTCTTTCTCCCTCGTCCTCTCCCCCATCTTCTCTCTCAAGCCTAGAACTTTCCTTGTACTTATTCTCTCTGCCCACCAGCCCTACCTACCCCTCTCCTGCCTAGGTATTGGCCATTCAGCTTTCTATTAGACCAATCAGATGCCTTAGCCAGGCAAGGCGAAATAACAACACATCTTTACATAATTAAACAAATGCAATATAAACAAATGTAACACATCATTACACAATTAACAAAGGCAGCAGAAACAAATGTAACACACTTTTACATAGTTAAAGTAATATTCCACAGCATAAACAAATGTAACACATCTTTGCCTAGCTAAACTAATATTCCACAACACTAGAGTTCTGGGGATACCTGGGACTAGATGGAGGCTTTTGGGAAGTCAAGAAGACCCAGAAACGTCCAGATACTTGTTTTATGGTCCTTGAGTCCAGAAGACTATGATGTCAAAATGACTCTACTGCTCTGAAACAGATCTGAGGCAGAGGAGTGTGCTGAATTAGGTTTGGGCAAGGTGATGGAAAGAGGGCAGGGAAACAGAGCATCACAACCCCTTCTCCTAGCACTTCATCCCTGCTATTTGAAGTGAGACAGGAAATGGGCAACTGGGTAGTTGGGTCTGTCAATGCCCAATCCCTGACAGATGCCCAGCAGGCGGAGACGGGCCTCAGCAGGGCTGGGCCCAGCACAGGCCACATTGCAGTAAGGCTCCTCATACTGACCCGGTATCAAGGCCTCCTCCAGCAGGTTGAGTCGCAATAGACCCTGGTCATGGAGGGCTTGCAGAGTCTCTCGAATGCTAGGGGAACTCAGCATCTCTATATGCTGGGACACCAGGCACATGATGCCCACCAGGTAGCCACGGGCCCGAGGGTGGGCAGGCAGGGCCGGCTGCAGGCCACAGGCCACCATGGCAGATGCCAGCAGCAAATCCACACCGTAGATCTCCAGGATCCAGTCTCGAAGGTAGAACCCTCCCATGCGTGGGTTGATCTCGATGAGCTTTGGCCCAGCCCCAGTCATCTTGAGCTCCACATTGAAAACTCCATCTAGCAGCCCACAGCTCAGGCAGCAGCGAAAAGCTGCCTGTACCAGCTGGGCCTCCTGCTCTGGTGCTAGCCCAGTGGGCATGCAGGCTGCAGTCTCCGTGAAGCCAGGCAGCCTTGTGGGGCCATTATCAGAGACAAAAGCAGCCAGCAGCCGTCCACCAAACACCACCAGGTCCACATCATGCTCTGTGCCCTCGACAAATTCCATCAGCAGCATGGCATTGCCCCAGCCCAGCCCAATGCCCGGGTGGTCAGCTTCACCCTGCAAGTCATGGAGGATCCGGGAAAAGTGCTCATGGCACTGGGGTCCATCCTTCACCAGCTGCACACCCACTGCTCCTGAGCCAAATTCCAGTTTCATCACACCTGGCAGGGGTACCTGGTCGATGGCTCTCTCCACATCAGCCTCACTCTCCAATGGGCAGCAGGCCACAGCATGGAGGGAAGTCGCAGGCCAGGGTGGGCCCGGGCATCGCAATAGGTGTAGCTGAGTACGGCTCTTCTGCTTTGCCAGGCACATGGCAGCTGGGGGGCTGCAGGGCAGACCCAGCTCACGGCAGAGCAGAGCGGTAAGCACCAAGCAATCATCCCAGAAGGAGAAGCAGCCGTCTAGCTTCAGGTTGCGTGCTCGTACCAGCTCAGCCAGCAGCTTTGCATTCTCCTCATCTCTCCGGTGCTCCGTCACATCGAAGTGGATGAAGGTCTGCACCAGCTGGGAGGCAAAGTGGTTAGGGTCCGATTCCACCAGGTGCAGCTGCAGAAACAGAAGCGAGCAGGAGGGACCTCCGTGTCAGCAGGTGTTGGGTCATGGAGGAGACAGGATGGTGTCCCACAGGGGAGGCTAAATCATAAACACCAGGAGCTCGGAATATGTTTATTGATGACGTGTTGAGTAAATGGAAAGTGCAGAGGTGGGACACCTGCTTCGGCCTGGAGGGGCAGGAAGTCAGAAGGAAAAACTTCGGGAGGAAAGAGTAGGCTGGGCTTGAGGGGCCAGGAGCAAGGAGAGAACACCAGAGGACTCACTAGGACTCACTCACAAGCAGCTCCTCCCTCCCCCACGCCGCAGGGCTTGGAGACCAGCCATCAGAGCTGGGACAGGAGACAGGTGGCTTGGTTATCATTCATTTTGCATGTTCTAACACTGTAATGTGATGTGCAGGACTCCTGAGGGGCCGAGTCCCCAAAGCTTGTGGTTTGCTGGGGGAAACACAGGCACAAGGCAGCTGATACTCAGGGCAGAAGCAGCCACTGATGAGGGGAAGGGGCTGTTTGTAAGGTATCTTGGCATCAGGAGTCTTTCAGTACTTCAACTGACATACACACTATCAGGTAGGAACTGTGATGCCAAGGCTGTCTGGGAATTCCTCAAGGACCGTGCATGGCAGGAAAAAAGGCGAGGAGGCCACTGTGGTGGACTAGGGCCAGCCTGAGAGAACCTCAGCTTTCCTGTTTCAATGGGAATGAGAATGTCTGTTGCCTGGTTAACTCCATATCCTACAATGTGAGTCCCTGCCTCCTCCCAACAGTAGAGTTGACTTGAGGTCTGCGAACTACTTTTTCACCCCCAGAGGACCCTATATGCCAAGCTGCAGGAATTCGACTCCAAAGACCTTTCCCCA